CCCCCTCTTGGTTTGTTCCACGCTAATAATTCCGTTGCAGCGATTCTAACATAGTTATCTAATTTCACAATCCGACACGCAACTTCAAATCTGAAAAAAAAAATTCTGAATTCATAAATCTCATGGTGGTGTATGTGCCAGATTTTAAAAATCAATTTTGAGTTAATTAGATGTAAAATAAATGAAGTTCACTATATTTGAAAAGTTAGTAGTGATGGATGTACCAAATTTACGAATTGTTTACTAGATTACAAAATTCAATGTGTTAAGTCTCAATCGATTTTGAAATCTATTTCTATCGAGTGTCACCAAGTTTTAAAATCATGATTTGTTGGTGTTCACATAATTTAGTGATAACACTTTCCCGAATTACACACTCTGAATTACCATATGAAAGTATTTGTTTGCGTGACCCTTCTCTTAACAACCACACCACCATGACAAACCTTGTAACATTAATTATGGTTCAAATACAACTACCATATTATATTATATTTTATATATATATATATATATATATATATATATATATATATAAGTAAAATGTCACAAATTTATTTTTTAAAATCCAAAGAGGATACAAAATAAAAATACCCCTTTAAGTTGTTAAGAAATACAAACAATGTTCTTATTTCACAACTAAAATATGAGAATTGTTTGAAGATTGAAACAATGTATGTTAGTAGTCATCAACCTGTTTTCCTTTAAGGATCTTCTATTTATAGAAATGAGAAGAAAGAGTCACTACAAATCCTTCTTAGTTATGAGATATTCAAATAAGGTCCTTTTTCTTTAAATTTGTGTCTATTCATAGTCAAACATAATGATATAGTAAGTGTTCTTCATAGAATATTAAAGACATATATTTTTTCAACCAACAATTTGATATACAACAGAACTTATCAAACTAAAATAAGATAATTTTTTCCGAAACTTGAGTAAAGGGAAATACCTTATATAAGGTTGATTCTCTTCACAAAATTCACATTCCACCATTTAAAAAAAATTGTTAGTGTTGATAAGCATGATATGCTAATCCTTTTGAAGGTGACTACACCTATAGTTGATGGCTACACTCTATATTGTCATTGTCTTAGTATGATCAAATATAAGCATGATTCAATCTTTAAAAAAGTCTTTAACAAACTAGCGTTAAAAAATTATTTTTCTATTTTTTACATACATATAATCAATTATGTTAAACTCATTGATTATCTCAAGTTGAACTAAGTTGGTTTCATTTTATTAAAAAATAATCAATTATTTCTAATAATAACCGATTGTGTTGCCCAAAATATATGTTTTAATGTTTTGTAATTAATTAATTAGTCAAAATAATAATCGATTATATGAATTAAAATTGGTTTTTATGATTTTTACAAATAATAAATTATTCTAAGTAATAATTGATTAAATTATGCCATTTAAAAAACAAAAATTTTATAAAAAATAATTATAATTAATAATAAACAATTATAAGAATTAAAAATAATTTTATGGATTACTTTGATAAAAAAATTATTAATGATGATTAAAAAAGATAATCAATTACCTTAGTTAGTAACCACTTTAGTTTTTAAAATTCTTTTAAAAGGAAAGTATTTTATTGATTATAGAACACATTTTTTTTTCAAATACTAACGAAAATTTTACTTGTTTTCGGAAACAAGACTTTTTTGAAGAATCATCTTTTACATTTTGAAGAAACTACAATTCAATATGGAAAGTATAAAAACTTAACTTTTGGTTGATATCTTTCATTTACTTTGTATCTTTCTTTATTGTATACATGAGTATGGTGTGACTATGGATCTATGAATACTTTCAATACTTTGTTTTTATTATTGAACGGTGTTGCATAAGAATTTTTATAACTAAATAATGTAAAGATATAGTTGAACAACTCAACTTGTTTGGATAAGATTGGATGTAGATACTAGTTGAATCAAACTAGTAAAAAGAATTTTGTTGTACTTTATCTAATTGTCATATCAAAGTATCCTATCGTGATTGTAACTCTCGTGCGTGAGAGATTATTTTAATCATTGTAATTGTGAGCCACTAACGCAAAAAGAGTTTTCAACATCAGTAGTTCCATGTCAGGTGTAGGAATATCTCACATTAAAAAAGCACGATGATATTTTTTTAAATATTTTACCCAAATTGATATCGGACTTGTTCCTAACACACTTTAGTTTCCAATTTAATATCATTTTTAGGGCCAAAGGACGATAAATAACGATAGATTGTCATAAGTCCGATGTTATTTAATGTCTGTTAGCCCTATGACCGACATTAAATTGAAAATTAACATCTAATTATAGGTTAACCGATGTCAATTGGTCTTTTAAAATTTCAAAAAATAGTGCTAGCCCTTACCTTTCTCTTTCTCATTTCCGTGAAACCTACCAACAAAGTGCAACGACGACGCTAAACTCATAAGAGCAAGTTCTTAAACTCATTTCACTCTATCTTGTCGTTGTGGTGCTCTTTTGGGTTTAAGCTTTCATTCTCCCCGATTGAATTTTGCATCACGGTTGGTATTTTCACTCACTAGCCATTGTTGTGTATCATAAAAGTTGCATTTTTAGTTTAAACCCGATTTTGTAAAATTCACTAAAAATAGGTAGAAAATGATTTTTAACTCAAATTTATTGTGGTAACTCCCATTAGGTTGTATTCAAGTGTAGAGTGTTCATTTGACATATCACTCCCATATTTTTGAGTTGACAATATTTAATGGGTAAAAACATTATATAATCATAACTTTTGTTACGGATATCCAATGGAGATGCTTCAAAAGTGAAAGTTATTGGAAATGGAGTGATGAATATGTTGGCTAATCCTCAAAGGGATATGAAATTTCAAAAAATCTATCGTTTATGATATTCTTTTTATTTTCTTAGTATCTTTTCACTCATTTTTTCATATTGTATAACTTTGATTAAGATAACCATAGTAATTAAAAAATTCTAAAATTTTGTAGTGTATTCTTGTATTATATTTTGATTTTCTATTATTTCAATGGAGGTAAACTTTAGTGAAAATTTGAAAACCAAAAGACCACAAATTAAGTCTGTTGTCCTATTAACAAATGTAAAGTAACATTTATTATAAATGTAATCAATATTAGTTTATGTTTGTTGTAAGAATAATAGACATCAACTAATATTTCCTGTTATAACGTCGAACTTATAACAAATCTAAAAGTCTAAAAATAATATAAGTAAAAAAGCTTTTTTTTTTCTTATTAGTGAGTTCTTCGTCTCGAGAAGAAATTGAGACAAAATATCTAAATGAAAGTCGTAATTTATATATATATATATATATATATATATATATGTATATATATATATATATATATATATATATAAAAGATAAAGTAATTGAGATTTTATGCTTAAAAACTCTTTGTTTTAAAATACTTAATCAAAATACATTTATATATGATGAGTTTGATGCAAGCATAAATATTTTCAGAATCTACTTAGAAGTTGATGGGTAATGGGAGTGTTTTACAATATTATTTGAACACATTTTAAATTTAATTTAATACAAAATATATCTCAAAAATTTGTTTATCAGCGGTCAGGATCTACTACGTTTAGTCTTTATCAACCTATCCAATTTTTATAATTCATCAAATTTAATATACTTTTATACTTATTTTTAAATCAAAGTTGACTTTTCAAGGTTATCGACAATTAAAAGGAATATTATATGAAAGTATAAAACATAATTTATTCAAATTTAAAATATAATTCATAATTTAAAAAATACTTATCATAAATATAAATTTTAATGATATGAAAATAATCTGTCGTATATGTACTGCAATGCAAGCTGATAAAACTATAGTTTAATATAGTGAAATTAATAGAATTAAAAGCAGTATCTGTTTGTTTTTCTTTTTATCTCGTTTGTGATTGATATTGATTCATACACTCCAAGGACACGCCTCACCAAAAGCTAACACAAACGTACCTGTCTGCAGTGTATATAGTAATCTCGATTTCGACTTTCAACACCATCCTATCCTCTCTAACACATGCTCCCAGTTGTATCCAATTTTCTATTCACATCACATACAATAGTCACAACAGCTCCATCAACTCTTTCTCTCTTCCAACCCTAAAACCTTTCTCCTACCCATCACCACTACCTCCTTTTCAATGTCCACCTCACGCTTTTATACGCCGTTATTCGCTATCGTTCTACCTGTGGCTGTGGCTGCGATTCTCTTCCGTCTTGAACCCTTCGAACCGGCTTTGTTGCCGGTTCAGTTGGGCCAGTCCGTCGTGGTGGTTCCCGCACGTAACGACCGCGCGCGAGTTGGATCTGAAGCTGTGGGCGAGGGACAAGTTGAGGGCCCCGAAGACTTGGCGTACGACGCCGAATCACGTGTTGTCTACACTGGGTGTGAGGATGGGTGGATCAAGCGAATCACGGTGAACGACTCGGCTGTTGAGTCGGTAGTTGAAAATTGGGTTAACACTGGAGGAAGGCCACTCGGGCTAACTTTGCTACACAACGGTGGCCTCATCGTTGCTGACGCGGGAAAGGTATTCAATTGTTAAAGAAAAGAGTTTCGATTATAATTTTATGGAAAAAAGAAGATGAGGAGGTGAAATTTCAAAGTTTAATCACTGATTTAATCACAAGAACATGTTTTAATTTTAATTAGGACTATAGTTTCATTTTAATAATCTAAATGGAAAAGGGGTTTGATTAAAAAACATTCTCATTTTTAAAATAAACCAATTGTAATTTAACAACAATAAAAAAAATATTGTGTAAAATATTGTGTGTGGTTTTCTACGTAAATAGAAATATGCTTTTTTGGGTCATTGCTATCATTTACTAACTTTTTCTATCATTTTTTTTTTCATCATCTTCATCAACCAAATAACCCGAAAATGGCGTAGATATGTTAAAAATTCAATATTTGTTAATTTGGGATGTACTTTATTTATAATTAATTTAGAAAAGACTACTAACTAGCAAAAGGACCCGTTTATGATTTTGAATAATATATCATAGACAGATATGGTACTCATGTGCTGCATAAGAAGGAGAGCATTTGAAAAATTGGGGAACCACTTTTTACGAATTTTATAAGTATTAAAATGTATGTACACATTGTTGTGGTTTTGCGATCTATCCACCACAGGCACACATATGAATAAATAAATGGTTTAAGTTTATTAATTATTAAAGTAATTAAACATCTCTTTTATTTGGTAAGATTTTTATTAAGAAAAATTAATACTAACGTAATTAACTTTAAATCGAGTTACTAAATATTTTAAATTAGAGAAAGGTAGAAGATTATGTTTAAAATGTATCAATACTTTCTGTGCTAAGAAAATAAGAGTATGGAATATTTTCGTTTCTTGAAATATGAAATTTAAGAACAAAGAAAAATAACTTCTGGGGAGAAAAAAAGAAATATAATTTTTAATATATATTTTATTTTGAAATACAACATTTCTAAATAAAATTTTATAATGATTTTTTTTTAATTTAAAATTTATTTTAATTCGAATATATATTTTTAAACATGTATTTTTATCAAATTATTTTTTAACTATATTAGTATAAAAATAATTTTTAATTCCAAAATATTTAAATCTCAATTTATATGGTTTTTTCTTTTCATATTCCTACCTAATCATTAGTGAGCAAAAGGTAACCGACCTAATCATAAAAACAAGATAAGAAAAGAATATTTAAAAATAAAGGTTTATGTGATCACTTATTTTCGTAAGCTTTTTTAATGATATCTCTCTGTTAGACTTTTAGCTGGCTTAAATGAATTAACTAGAGAAACAGTGTGACTCGTATTTATAAATATTATTAAAAGAAGGAAATCAACTAATGATGCAGGGATTGCTGAGAGTGTCAAGTGAAAAGGAGGTTGAGCTGCTGGTAGATGAGTTTGAGGGCCTAAAATTCAAGTTAACAGATGGTGTTGATGTAGCAGAAGATGGTACTATTTATTTCACAGATGCATCACACAAATACTCTATGAATGGTTCTGTCTTCGACATCTTGGAAGGGAAGCCTAATGGCAGACTCTTAAGCTATAATCCAGCAACAAAGAAGACAACCCTGCTTGCCCAAGACCTCTACTTTGCCAATGGTGTTGCAGTTTCACCTGATCAGCAATTTGTGGTCTTTTGTGAATCTTCCCTGTAAGTTTTCCTCAGCTTAAACTACCTTCAATTTCTGGTCTATTTACATTTCACATATTTCTTCAATTTTCATCTTTGTACTATACTTTTAATTACGTAATTGGTCTATAAACATTTGACGTGGGCTTTTTCTGCAGTATCATATATAATTTCCCAGGACTGGAATAGTTCATGGAAAAAATAGTATATTTGGGTTTGTGTTAATTTGTAAACTGAGTAAAAGCTGATTGATATAATCAAATTTTGTTGAGATTTAGATCTTACGCCCAAATATGGGGAGTGAAAATTATACAAGAATCAAACTGCATTTATTCCAATATAACATCTCTGTCAAATGATTAATGTCACCTATTTATGACTTAAAAGGGTAATTAAAGGCTGTTTTCGTCTGAAATGGATCTGATTAATCTCTAATCAAACTCCTTGTTATATAGTTTAAAAGTTTGTTTCCTTATTTCAAGCGCTGTTGTGCAGGATGAAATGCAATAAATATTACTTAAAGGGGCCAAAGAAGGGGACCATAGAGAAGTTTTGTGACCTACCTGGTATGCCTGATAACATTCATTATGATGGAGAAGGACATTACTTGATTGCAATGTTCACGGTACTGTATCCACAGGCTTCGTAACTAATCTTGACAGCAATCACTTGCCCACCAACTACCTTTCAATTTATAAGGAAATGAAACTAATTATGTTCAAAATTCTAGTTTTTGAAAGCCAGACACGGGAATATGACTTGTGACCTAACACTACAACAAAACTATTATTTTCATAAAAATAAAAAGAAACAAGAAAAAGAAAGATGGATGTTTTTTGTCTTGTTTACTCATAAATGTTTTTGTGCATTACTGGCAGGCCCTTACTCCTGAACTGGATTTGGCATTCAGATATCCTTTCATTAGGAAGGTTGTAGCAATTGTAACAAAATATGCGTGGAATTTACCTATCTCGAAGAATGGAGGATTTGCAATCGTCGATTTAGACGGAAAACTAACTGCACATTATTATGATCCCAAGCTAGGATTGACCAGTGCAATTAAAATCGGGAATCATATATATGCTGGATCCATTTTTTACCCATTTGTAACACGTTTTGATATTGAGAAATATCCTGCTCTCCCCACAGTTTGAACAACAGTGAAAACCTTGTTTGTACAAGAGAAAAAGTTTTCTGTAGTGACAAGTTAGTGCCATAAAATGTGATGTATGTGAAAATTCCATTAGTCTGTTATATGTTTTGTAATAAAAATGGAATTTCTTGCAGAACCTCTTCCCAATTTATTATTATTGTTATTATTCGCTTCATTATCTTGAACGTTTAACTACAATTTATCACAGTCATGGGATCTAGAAAGGCTGCCCAAAGCTTCGGCTTTCTTCCTCAGAACATACTTCTGTATCTTCCCAGTTGAAGTTTTTGGAATGTCTTGAAAAACGACTGTTTTAGGAGCCATGTAATGCGGCAAATGTTCCCTGCAAAAGTTTATTATGGCTTCAGCATCTACATCAAAACCCTCTTTCAACTTCACAAAAGCACAAGGAGTTTGGCCCCAATGATCATCTGGCCTGGCAACAACTGCAGCTTCAAGAATTGCTGGATGGCTATACAAAACAGTCTCTACCTCAACGGAGCTAATATTCTCTCCCCCAGAGATTATTATGTCCTTCAACCTGTCCTTGATTTCTATGTAACCATCAGAGTGTTTCACAGCTAGATCCCCACTACGAAACCACCCATCTTTGAAAGCTTCTTCCGTTGCTTTCAAATCTCTAAAATATCCACTCATCACTGTGTTCCCTCTAAACATTACCTCTCCCATTGTTTTTCCATCAGATGGAACACCTTCCATTGAGACAGGATCTTTCACATCAATTTCCTCCAAAGCCACATGGGGCACCCCCTGCCTGGCTTTCATCTTTGATCTATCTTCGTGGGGTAACAAGTCCCATTCAGGTCTCCAAGCACAGAAAGTGCCTGGACCATACGTTTCTGTGAGGCCATACAGGTGAGAGATGCTAAAGCCAATCTCCTCCATCTTGTCAAGGATCTGTGGCGGTGGAGGTGAACCTCCTGTCATCACCACCACTTTCTGATTGAGTGGTTTTCGGTCGGTCAATGCAGAGTTCACAATCATGTTCAGCACTGTTGGTGCTCCTCCCATGTGTGTCACCTTATGCTGAGCTATATTGTCAGAAATGTCTTTTGGAGAGACCTTCCTAACACATATATTGATCCCAAATTGTGATGCCACTCCCCAAGGTAAGCACCACCCATTGCAGTGGAACATCGGAACACTCCAAAGATAAACAGGAAAAAGGTCCATTCTGAAGAGTAGAACAGTTGCTAGAGAATTAAGATAAGCACCCCTGTGACTATAGACAACTCCTTTAGGCCTAGATGTAGTACCTGAGGTGTAGTTTATACTTATAGGATCCAATTCACTATGGGGTCTCACTATGTCAAAACTACTGTGCCCATCTGCCAGAAGCCGCTCATACTCATAACTAACTGATGTAATGTCAAATGTAGATGGACAATCTGAGTCGGTAACTAGAACTAAAATCGGCAATTCTCTAGGTTTTTTGCCTAGCAAGTTCAGAGCTCCCCTAGCGACTTCAAGAAGTTGGTTGTCTACAAAAAGGACCTTTGCTTGTGAATGCTCCAGAAGGACTGAAACCATAGCTGCATCTAAGCGTGAGTTAAGGGTGCATAGAATGGCTCCAGCCATTGGAACAGCAAAATGTACCTCGTACATAGCAGGGACATTGGGTAATAAAGTGGCAACCTGTGTAGAAGAACATGGAATAGTATCAGAGATTCATTTACCTCAGGAAGTATCAAGACGCTTCCAGATATTTGTTCCCTAGCATCACAGGTTTCGTCAATGCAAATTAGAACTGTTAAAAGTGCAGAACATTTTCTAGAAACATATAAACATTGAAGTGCTGATGAAAGTTCAAGTAGCGTTCACAAAGTGGTGATATCTGAAAGCTGCATATAGTAACTTCAAAAGAAAGTTGTTCCATATTAAATTCTAATAATGAAGCTTCACATCTCAAGCAAGCCTATTTCTTCAGCTCCCAAATTTTTCATTTCAGCTCAAAACTTTCAGGTGTCGGCTATCAAGTACTCTTTCAAATTTCCACCGTAGTCACCTAATACGATGACCTCCATCTAAATATGGCATAATTATGTTTTTTATCCTTAAAATTATGACTTTCTTAAAAAAAAAAAAGAAGCTTGTATTCAAATGTAATTTGTTTTAGCCCTTAGTTTTTTAAGAGCAACTAAAAATGCATTTATTTTTCGACTTACACAGAAATCATAGATTTGGTCCCTGGATAGTCAAACTAATTAGTAGTCATAGCTTGGACCTCTTAAATCCGGCCACCGAAAGAAAGAAACAAAGGTTTATCAATACTACTCGACAGGTATCCAATAGGTTCGTTTCAGTTTCCAAAATCTACTTTTAGCTTTTGAAATCATGAATTGATTTTGAAAAAGAAGCCAGCTACACATCATCCTAGAACTAAAATCACTTATCACAGCATAACATTCCTTAGTTATTTGTTATTTATTTTTCTAAAACACTTGTTTTGAGATTTTGTAAATAAAAAACAGCAGAAAATTAAACAGGTTCATTCAAATATTCGAGATCAGAATAAGAGAATATCAACAGTTAACTTTCTCATTAACCGATCCATTATCTTGTAAAAAATTCCACAGTTCATTGGTTAAGAAACACGCAGACGCGTAACCACAGTAAAACCAGAAGAAAGACAGAGTGTGAGCAAAGACTAAACTAACCACATCCCCGCGAGAAATTCCCAAGTGGGTCAAAGCAGAAGCGAGTTTCAAACAGCGTTGATGGGTTTCGCCCCAGTTATACTCCAGAGATCCATACACGACCGAGGTTCTGTCTCTGCAGACCTTGGCTGCTCGCTCTAGGAAGGTGATGGGAGATAAAGGAACAAAATTCGCAGAGCAACGAGAAAGACCCTCCATCGATTCCCACGAACCCGGATCATTGTCCTGCGAAAAGCTGCAAAATTTACGCGAATGACAGTGAGATAAGAAGACGCGAGGTGATCTGAAAAGTCTGATAGAACGAGTCCAGAACATGGTGACTTCGTTTTAAACGGTAATGAATGGCATAGTTAGACGCATCATCCGATGGGTAAGTGTACTGTCAACTCATTATGATGGCGAAGAAGAAGAGTTTACATAAAAATAAACATCCCAGGTACTTTGTATATGGTTTCTAGTGTTTTTTTTTTTCAGTTTTTCTGGGGATATAGATTCAACGTGTAGTTGTGATTGCTGCTACGTAATAGATAGTGTAGTTTACTAGGAGGGTACTGACAAAAGCAAAAACGACAGTTTGTTAGCGAAAAAACACAAGGCTAACAGGATAATTATAAGAAAGAAAAAAGACCTCGTAATCCAGACTGTAAATCTCTACTATATATTAATGTTTGTTTATAAACACACCTTTTTTTATGATAAAATATCATAAATATAGTTAAAAAGTTTATAAAAAATAAAAGGTAAAATTATAATAAAATATTAATAACAAATATGTATTTTTTCTTTTATGCTTAAATCTTACTTCGTCCTCGTGTTAATAAAACTGAATTTCTATTTATTATCCGGTTTTAAAAATGAAGATATGTATGAAGAAGATCTTTACTTTTTCTCTTCTCTCTTCTGCTGTCCAGCTTTACTTTTTCTCTTCTCTCTTCTGCTGTCCAGCTTTTTTTCTCTCTTGTTCAACTTTTTCTTTGATGATTTGTTAAACTTGTTCTTTCTTTATGTACCTTATTCATATATTCTTTTTCATAATATAGGGACTCAATGTCTTCATTTTTAAAACCGGTAACATGGAAATGAAGTAAACATTTAAGTTTTTTTTAATTGTCTATAAAAATTATTTATCATTAATTTGAAGAAAACATGCCTTTTTTTTTAACAGATATACATGTAGTACCGAAGGAAATGATAAGTTTAATTTTCAACTTCTTGTGAAAATGATTAAATAATTATTAGGTTAAATATGTTTCCCAGCTTATAATTTTAATATATTTTTATTTCAAAGTTTAAAATTGAATACTTCAAAATTCAATTAGGTTAATATTTTATTACATAGGTTAAGGTGATTATATTTATTCAATTGCAGCCCAAGCTTAAAATATCATTTAGGATTAAAAAAGTTTAATATAATTAAATTTAGAGATATTCATTTTTAAAATAAGACAAATTATATTAAAGTCTGAGACATACATAAATTTCTATTTTACTTAGAAAATAAAAATTATTTAACCCTAACAATTATTAACGTTTTTCATATTTATTTTAAGAAATAAAACAGTTATTACTATTTTAAGTATAGAACACTAAGAAAACGTGTATACCAAACAAAAAGAAGGTATACCTTTTATTAATTAACATAAATAGAAATAATTATTACATTTTTAAAGATAAAATTATACAAAAATTATGTAAAAAGAAATAGTTTTGAAACTGTATTTTTACTAACTGATATGGATTTTAGATTAAGTGTAAAATCATAAGAAAATGTAAAAAACAATATAATTATAAAAGTGTTTGTTTATTAATATTATAAATCACGTGTAAGATATAAGGAAATGTACAAAAAAAAATTCAAAACTATATTGTCTTTATTAATAATTTTTATATATTTGTAATAAAATAGTAAGAAAATATATAAAAAAAGTCTATTATTTTTATTAATATTATATCTTTATAGTCTATTTGAATAAATGAAAGCAATTACCACATTTTTAAGGATAAAATACTAAAAAAAATGTGTATAAAAAAAATCATAGAATGTACTCTCAATTAATTGTTATTTATAATAAGAAGTTAATTTTATATGTTGAAAGAGAAAGAAGCTGCTAGTACATAGGAAGAAGAAGACTAAAATTGCCTAACGAAGATTAATCTTATTTTCCACGTGTTACTTAACTGAGGACAAGGTTATCATGATTCATGAACCTGGTATAAAATAAAAAGACCCACCACACATTTTAAAATTAAAGCGATAATATATTATAATGGAATAAATATATTATGTATGATATGTAGATAGGCCGAACGGTTAACCCTTACATTTGATCGGTCTATTCCTTGTATCAAAGGTCAAGCAGATCAAGTGTTATGCTATAATTAAATTTGTTATTGGACGAATGGTTTAGGCTAATAAGTAATTAATAAATTAATAATATAACGATTAAAAATATTGATTAAAGATATTGATATTGAATATATTGATAAATAATTGTAGGATAAGTAAGTTGTTTATGAGAAACAGACTGAATCTAAAAATAAGTTTATTTTATTAGATCTATGTCAATTTAGGATCCACAAAATAATTTATAAATAGAAGACTAAACTACAAAAATAAGCGGGTGGAATTTATTCTGAGTTTCATTATCTATTGAATATTATCAATACTATCACGTCAGTAGAATACGACAAAAAAGGTGTTTTTCCTCATTCCTACACAAATATATATCTAAATTAAGATAATACATTGACTTTTCTATAATTAAATGATAAACTAATAAAACAAATGTTGATACTAAATTATTATTTTTAACATAAAATTTAGGCAAAAAAATAAATTAGTATTTACTTTTTCCTTTCTCTTATATACTATGAGTAAAATAAATAAATAAGCTACTAATACTATTTTTAAATTTACTTCAAGTAAATTATTTTTTATTCACTACAAATTTATTTAATAGTATATATCCATTAGATATATAAGGATGATGATGATGATTTTTTTTTTTGAATGAGGTAATGAAATTCACCTCTGATATCATCTCTATGGTTTGGTTTGGATGCATTTGATTATGTAAAAATATTTAATGGTGGTGTTGATTGAACTTCAAATAATACATATTAGATAAGACGTTCAGAGGATGTTACTCGTCTCACTTTTTGTGCTAGCATTACACCAATACAGCTAATCTTTTTCACTTTTGTAGATAATAGAACAATTACTGATTCGGTAGATATTTTGTAGGATCGAGAGATTAATATGTTCCGATGCGTCTTCTTTTTCTTTAAAAGTTGGGATCGTCTGAGCTGCTTGCCTTTTTTCTGTCTGAGTCGTTCGGTTGACTTTAGTCTAGATCGTTCGGTTGACTTTAGTCTAAACCGTTCGGTTGGCTTCTTGCTCCAGGGGGAGGTACCAGCAAAAAATACTCTGACGCTCAAGTTAGGCGTGAATTTGAAGAACCTTGGTTCTTAGTTGAGTATTTAGTGAAGGATTATCACAATTGAATGTTTGGGTGTTATGAAGTGTTAGTTGAACGTACCTGGCTTGTGGCCTTGGCTCTATATTTATAAGTTATCTTATGGACCTTAAGCTGACATAAGTCCAATAAAATATAAACAGAATAAGATATAAACAGATTACCTAAAAATCTGGTTGATTGTTTATAACCTGCTTATCAATATCTTTAATTAGATATTCTTGATTATTTTATCATCTGCTGGACTATTGGCCCAATTGCGGCCCAATCTTTGACCTAGTTGACTGTAGCGGATGAACTGAATTGTCCTGAGTGGATGGACCGAACGATGCTGAATGTTAACCGTTCAGTCTCCACTAGGTACGATACATTATGCCTCCCAAGTCCGAGTTAAGCGTTCGACTTTAGCCTTGGTTAACTATAGGACTTATGAGTTTGAGGAAGGATGTTTTTAGTCATTGCTCACTGCTGCCGAAACGGTGGACTTTATAACTTCTCTTTTGAAGTAATCAATAGACCGAGCGACTTATGATGGGAGTTCTTTTTAGAACTTGTTTTTCTTTTCTGAAGAAAAATGACGATCGAATTTAAAGTGTCAAAAGAATGTAAATAATTAGACTAACCCATTTTATAAGGTTGAATGGCCAAGCGGGCGAGAGTGCTTTATTGAAGACGCTCGGTTGAGAATGACTGTTCCTCAGCTCTTGGTGTTCGACCTAGGAGTTCCTGGAGAACTTCCTAGTGAAAGGGCTTTACCTCTCTGCTTTATGACTTTGACCTAGGGGTTCTTCCTAAGGAACGGGCTTTATCGTTCGGCTTTGCACTAGGAGTTCCTAGAGAACTTCCTAGGGGGAGGGCTTTACCTCTTGGCCAAGAGGGATTTACCTCTCGGTCTTCAACATCCTCAAAAGGGATTTACCTCTCGGTCGAGAGGGATTTACCTCTTGGTCGAGAGGGATTTACCTCTCGGTCGAGAGAGATTTACCGCTCAGTCTTTGACTTCAACTTTCTGGCGAGAGGGATTTACATCTCGTTCTTCGGCATCAACTTTTTAGTTCACGGAGAACGTTCAACACCGCTCGGTTTAGGACGAGAGTGAGAGTTCACGGAGATGTTCCTCACCGCTCGGTTTTTCAGCATAGGAGTTTGTTTTGGAACTTCCTAGTGGACGAGAGTGCCAGTCCTCGGGGACGTCCAACACCGCTCGGTTTAGGACGAGAGTGAGAGTTCACGGAGAACGGTCCTCACTGCTCAGTTTTTCAGCGTAGGAGTTCGTTTTGGAACTTCCTAGTGGACGAGAGTGTCAGTACTCGGGGATGTCCAACACCGCTCGGTTTAGGACGAGAGTGAGCATTCATTGAGAACGTTCCTCACCGCTCGATTTAGGACCAGGGGTTCTCGGAGAGTGTTCCTTGGGTTTTGTTGACGTCAGTGATGGCTTACTTCTGAGAGGGATTTACCTCTTCGATCTTCTGGTTGACGAAAGGGATTTACCTCTCGGTCGAGAGGGATTTTCCTCTCGGTCTTTTCTTCAACGAGAGGGATTTACCTCTCGGTCTTCGACCTAGGAATTCCTGAAGAATTTCCTAATGGACGTGAGGGATTTACCTCTCGATTCTTGCACTCCTCTTGGCCTAGTGGTCGTCATGGTCCTATCACCTGCGCTGTGAAGCTGAACGGCTAAATACCAGTGAGGCCAAACGGCCAAACTGATGCATGGTTGAACACTTGATGCCAAATTTGGTTCAGTGGTGAGTGCAGTATTGAACCCTTAATAAATCTTGAACAATATTATAATATTGAATTAAAATATTTAAATTAAATTAAATAATAAAATGAATCTATATCAAAATAATTATTTGTAGAGTCGTAGAAGCTTGTTGACGTTGATGGTGAGACTGCATCCTTGTCCGATTCCTTGTGGTTATAAGGGATGCCCCTCGACCCCACGGTGGGCGCCAA